GGAGTGGCTTCAAACCGAAAAAGTCGTCTTTGTTTGAGTAAACAGGCAAAATCTAGCATCGAAAATAGAGCCGCTATTCCAAAATAATGGGTCTTTGTCCGTGTCTGAGTCCGAAAAGCTGTTGGACATTTTCCATGCTTCTGCTTGTCAATGAATGCTTAGTGAAACTTGAGAATTACCATGCCTCGGGCTAAAAATGGGTCGCCCGCTTCTGCACTACTCCATTTCAGGCAGATGATGGAAGAGCATAGAAACTTCAGGATTCCAAAGCTGGAACCTCTCCAATAAGTCTCGAATGGCTGGTCGCAAGAGCCGAAGCGGGACTCCCCGTGCGCAATACATAGCTGCAAGATCTTGCGCTTGATAAGGGATCAGTCTTCGGGGCCGGACAAAACGGCACACCAATAACATTCGTGCCCGAAAGCCTGAAAGAATAGCCCCTTCTGCTCCAGCAGAGCGGTGACTTCGGATCAACTGAGGAATGGTGGGAAGTTTTAAGGTAATGGATCGTTGGCGGGTGTCAATACGAAAGCCGAGTGCAATGTCATCTATCACGGTCTCCAGCACCAGTGGCCGCCCGTAAAAGGAAGGCCAACGCAAAATATCATGGTCAGTGCTCGAAGGCGTAGTGTTGACCAAAACCATGATACGGTTATCCACGTATCTAGTGAGAAAAGAATGTTGAACCCACGTGACAGAATTCACAAGTGCCTGAGTAAAGGTCCACTCCCGGAAGACTGCAACTGCTGAACATAATACTGGCGCCCACTGGGATCCCATGGACGCGCCACATGTTTGCTGAAAGACAAACTTACCGATGCTGAAAAAGCTGAGTCGTAACAAAGTGTCAACGATAGGAACCACATCGCCGAGACGAACGACCCGATGAGTAGACCCAAATCGTCGCCACTTGCCTTTAAACAGTCGTTGTATTCTTTCGGCGTGCTGAACTGTGACGGAAAAATCTGAATCAAGAGAAACATCCTGCAAGGAGGCGTATCTGCAAATCAAGAACTGCACGGACATCAGGATGCGACAGTGTTCCACATGGTTGTAAAAACCAGCCAGGTCCTGCTGGTCTAAAAGGATTTCAGACTCGACATGGTTTTGGCAAAAGATGCGCCAAATAGACCGAAGAATGACATCGACGCGTTGGGTATTGACTTCCTTGGGGAAGACGGTTTCCAAAATTACCAAGAGCAGAATAGAAATGGCTTGCCCGATCTTGGAGCACCATGCCTTGCGGTAGCTCACAATTGGCCGGGCCTTGTCCCACCCACGGCTTGGCTTCGGAAGCAGGTATGCGTATGGTAGCTGACCCTGCATGGCCCATCCCCAAGAATATTGTCGCACAAGTTGGCGTGGCACAAACTGTGGAAGTCTTGACATTATGGTCATCGGGCCTTCATACAATTGACGGAAAACTTCAACATCCAGAAAAGTACGATGAAGCAACCAATGATAATGTGAGGGGCAAACAATCGCGAGACAATGAGGGAAATGGTCCGCCGGCCCACGAATCCATCCGTCAGTGAGGTTTTGAAATTTGCAAGCGCTAAAAGCTCCGACAAACTCAGTGACTCGGAAGGCGGAACCGTTTAAACAGGGTCACTTGAAAAGGGGGGCCACTTGAAAAGGGGAACCAGTCAAACACCTGTGGTATGTTCTAAGGGTGGGGCCGCCGTAGGAGAACAGATAATACTCCATAATTGACTCTGCGGTGGAACCGCTTCATCTGCGGTATACCCCGCTTCATCTGCGGTATACCCCGCCACTCGTGGGCAGTTGCCCGAGTTCTCTCTCACAATACTTCTGGAGCCACCTCGCTCCTTCCTGGATTGAACTTTGGGCAGAGCCCTGGCAGCGTTTCTTTACCCGAAGGCTGTTCTACGGTTCCAGGGCCGTGCCCAACTCTCTTCACCAACCCCCGCGCACCATTGGGGCCGGCGGACGTCGGCACAGCACCCACATGGGCTGAACCGAGGGGGCGAACCCCACACACTGAAGATGGAGTTTGAAAAGCGAAAAGAGGTTGTGGATGTCCCAGGCCTTAAGTTGGAATCTGTTTGAGAGGGAACCCACCAGCTGCCGTCAGGGGCCCAGGTGCGGTTCGCAGGTACGTTTCCACGGGGAATGCGCAGCGTCTTCGTTGGCCGCCGACTGCGCATTCCCCCGGCGGCCCCCTGCTTTCAGGATATGTTTAGCATAGCTATCCCTCGACTGGTTTGGGTTGTCACACACACACACACACACACACACACACACACACACACACACACACACACACACACACACACACACACACACACACACACACACACACACACACACACACACACACACACACACACACACACACACACACACACACAACACACACACACACACACACACACACACACACACACACACACACACACACATACACACACACACACACACACACACACACACACACACACACACACACACACACACACACACACACACACACACACACACAACACACAACACACAACACACAACACACAACACACAACACACACACACACACGCACACACCCACACACACACACGACACACACACACACACACACACACACACACACACACACACACACACACACACACACACACACACACACACACACACCCACACACACACACACACACACACACACACACACACACACACACACACACACACACACACACACACACACACACACACACACACACACTCACACACACACACACACAAACACACACACACACACACACACACACACACACACACACACACACACACACACACACACACACACACACACACACACACACACACACACACACACACACACACACACACACACACACACACACACACACACACACACACACACCAACACACAAACACACAAACACACACACACAAACACACACACACACACACACACACACACACACACACACACACACACACACACACACACACACACACACACACACACACACACACACACACACACACACACACACACACACACACACACACAAACAACACACACACACACACACACACACACACACACACACACACACACACACACACACACACACACACACACAAAGCACACAAAACACACAACACAACACACACACACACACACGCACAAACACACACACACACACATTCACACACAAACAAAAAATACACACACACACACAAGAGACAAAAACACAAAACACAAGAACACAAACACAAACCTACACACCTACACGCACCTACAGACCTACACACACCTACACACACCTACACACACCTACACGCACCTACACGCACCTACACGTACCTACACGCACCTACACGCACCTACACGTACCTACACGCACCTACACGCACCTACACGCACCTACACGCACCTACACGCACCTACACGCACCTACACGCACCTACGCGCACCCACACGCACCCACACGCACCTACACGCACCTACGCGCACCTACACTCACCTACACGCACCTACACGCACCTACACGCACCTACGCGCACCTACACGCACCTACACGCACCTACGCGCACCTACACGCACCTACACGCACCTACACGCACCTACACGCACCTACACACACCTACACAGACCTACACACACCTACACACACCTACACACCTACACACACCTACACACACCTACACACACCTACACACACCTACACACACCTACACACACACCAGCACACACACCAGCACACACACCTACACGCACCTACACGCACCTACACGCACCTACACGCACGTACACGCACCTACACTCACCTACACGCACCTACAGACACCTACACACACCTACACGCACCTACACGCACCTACACGCACCTACACGCACCTACACGCACCTACACGCACCTACACGCACCTACACGTACCTACACGCACCTACACGCACCTACACGCACCTACACGCACCTACACGCACCTACACGCACCTACACGCACCTACGCGCACCCACACGCACCCACACGCACCTACACGCACCTACGCGCACCTACACTCACCTACACGCACCTACACGCACCTACACGCACCTACTACGCACCTACACGCACCAACTCGCACACTACACGCAACACTACACGCACCTACGCGCAACCTACACAGCAACCTACACGCACCTACACGCCACCACACGCACCAACACACACCTACACAACAGACCTAACACACCACAAACACACCTACACACACCTACACACACCTACACACACCTACACACACCTACACACAACTACACACAATTACACACCTACACACACACACCTACACACACCTACACACACCTACGCACACCTACACACACCTACGCACACCTACACACACCTACACACACCTACACACACCTACACACACCTACACACACCTACACACACCTACACACACCTACACACACCTACACACACCTACGCACACCTACACACACCTACACACACCTACACACACCTACACACACCTACACACACCTACGCACACCTACACACACCTACGCACACCTACACACACCTACACACACCTACACACACCTACACACACCTACACACACCTACACACACCTACACACACCTACACACACCAACACACACCTACACACACCTACACACACCTACACACACCTACACACACCTACACACACCTACACACACCTACACACACCTACACACACCAACGCACACACACCTACACACACCTACACACACCCCCACACACCCACACGCACCCCCACCCCCACCCCCACCCCCACCCACACACACACACCCCACACACACACACCCACACCCACACCCACACCAACAGACACACAAACACAAACATAAACAGAACACGAACACAAGCACACACACGCACACACACACACACACATATATATATATATATATATTACATACATATACACACGCGCACGCGTACACTCACACGCACGCATGCTGCGTTGGCGCAGCAAAGGTCTTTGGACGACATTGCGGCGGCCATTGAAAGCTACTGTCAAGCGGTTCGCTTGGACCCTTCCTTGCACGTGTGCTTTGCAAACCTGGCGACCTTGTACATGTACCTGGAAGACTTCCAGAAAGCTCAGGCGTGGTGGGGGGCTGCCCACGCCCGTTTCTTGTGCTGTGCTTCAGCAGATGTTTCTCCTTGTGTGTTGTGCTTTGCAAGCGAGCAGATGTGTGTGATGAGTTGGCAGCACTGGGAGGAGCAGATTTCCAAAGCCCTCATGCTGGAGCCGTCCAACCAGGCGTACCTGGTGCCTCGGATAGCGACTTATTCAATAGGGTATATCCAATAGGGCCAAAGCTAGAGGTTTGAGAGTGCATCTGAGTGGATTACTTGAACTGAAAATGGCATTGCACTTTCCGCGGTCTGGTGCGTTTGGCCTTCGCCCAAAGGACATCAAGAAGTCACTCCGCAGCAGATGCGCCAAGCGCACGTGAGCCAAGCAAAGTCAAGGGCGACATTTGCTTTGACGGCCTCCGGATGGGGACCGAGCACGATGGTGACAAAGGCTTTCTTCATTCCAGCACCGCTGGGCCCCAGGCAAACAACGTCTGGTTGCAGCATGCTTGCAGCCAAGCGCAGGAAAGTAGGTTTACGTGCGCAAATATCACTTCTCCACGCAGAGGAACAGGTTCCACAAGGGAATCAGCTGCAGACGATTGGATCTTGAGCAATGACCCAATGACTGAACAGTGCAAAATCTTTGGAAGTGCTTGATCCCAATTGCATGCAGCTTCCTTGCAAGGAGCGGTTTTGGAGTGTTGCCGTAGCCTGAAAAATAGCCTTCATTCTTGAGCAGGCGGATGGCAACATCAGCAACAGGCCGATAAGTAGGCTCACGCTGTTTGAGCAGGCACGCTGCAAATACTCCTTTTTTATTGATATCGATGCTTATGTGTCAGAACATGTACACACACACATATATATATATATATATCGGTGTAATCTGATTAAGAGTTGACCGCAGGCCAAACGCCAGTTCCAGCCCTGCTGCGACTCATCACTGGCAAGAACTGAACATGTCCTGAATCTGATCCAATGTGTACATATTGACGGTAAACAAAACATGTATATGGCAGCACTCTGGTGGACATTGTCGGATATTGTCGGTGGCCAAGACGAAGCACCATGATATAGGTGAGACAACAACACACGTGGCTCACAAGTGTGATGTCATTCGGGCCCACGCTGAATGGCAATTATATACATGGCACCGAACGCAATACCCCCCCAAGTTTGCAAATAAGGCCCGAATAATGAACCTCTTAGGTCCCGAATATGGATCTATTCCGGTGAAGGGTGTCAAGATATTGAAGAGGTAGAAGACCGGAATATGCAAGTGTTTTGTTTCCATTGGAAACAATAGTGTCAATACCACAATACAGCAAGTGTGAAAGCACTCCTTTTGTTGCTAGGTCAAACGCTATGTCACCAGGCTTGAGCCTTGCTGGCAGGGAATCGCGCATGAGATCTGTTCAAGTCAAGCACAGAACAAGCAAGAACCCCCCCCTGATCCCCCCACTCCACCCCACCCCGAAACCCTTCCGTGGCCTCCGAAGACGTGTTTGTTGCAGCGCCAATCAGCTCTTAACCCATAAAACTAGACCACGGTTGGCCCGAAAGCATAACATCGCAAGCGAGGTCGGCCCAACGCTGCAGGATGCGTTCTTTTTCCCTCCACGAAGCATTTGTGAAGCAAGCGCGAGACAGCGCCAGGCAAGGTGCTCTGCGCAAACTGGTCGGTGCAAGTTGGTCTGCGCAAGTTGCTCTACGCAAGTTGCACTGTGCAAGTTGCTCTGCGCAAGTTGTGCAAATTGCGCTCCCTGCAAGTTGCTGTGCGCAAGCTGTGCAAGTTGCTCTGCGTAAGTTGCTCTGCGCAAGTTGCTCTAGGCAAGGCGCTCTGCGCAAACTGGTCGGTCCAAGTTGGTCTGCGCAAGTTGCTCTGCGCAAGTTGCTTTAAAATGCAAGTTGCATCTTGCGACGCCCGCCCGCGGACCAGGGAGGAATCGAACCCGCGACCCGCCGGTTCCGGGATCAGGCGCGCGAACCACGAGACAACTTTCGAGGACCAGTTCGAACAACAAAAGTCGCCAAAAATCTCGAGTTTTTGCACCTCGACCATGCCGATGCCCGCAGAGGGTTGCGCGAGCATGTTAGAAATCGCAAAAAACCATGGGTTTTTGCACCTCGACCACGCCATCCCCGCAGAGGGTCGCGCGGGAACTTTAGAAATCGCAAAAAACCATGGGTTTTTGCACCTCGACCACGCCGATCCCCGCAGAGGGTCGCGCGGGAACTTTAGAAATCGCAAAAAACCATGGGTTTTTGCACCTCGACCACGCCGATCCCTGCAGAGGGTCGGTTTTCGTGTAGTGTCGTCGGCACTACCCCGCCGCCCTAAGAAGAGAATTTAACTCCTCGCAAGTCAATTGCACTTGACTCCTTGCACTTGGCTCCTGCACTTGCAACTTGCCACTTGCAACTTGACTCCGTGCACTTGCAATTGCACTTGATGCTCCATGCACTTGACTCCATCTCATTGCACTTGCATCTTGCACTTGACTCCTTGCACTTGCTAACTTGACTTTGGCTCCTTGCACTTGACAACTTGCGCTGACTCTTGCAAAGACGCTTGCAATGACTCCTTGCAATGACTCCTTGCAATGATCCTCTTGTTCTTCCGTTATGAATATGGTCCTTGCAATGACTCCTTGCAATGACTCCTTGCAATGACTTCTTGCAATGACTCCTTGCAATGACTCCTTGCAATGACTCTTTGCAATGACTCCTTGCAATGACTCCTTGCAATGACTCCTTGCAATGACTCCTTGCAATGACTCCTTGCAATGACTCCTTGCAATGACTCCTTGCAATGACTCCTTGCAATGACTCCTTGCAATGACTCCTTGCAATGACTCTTTGCAATGACTCCTTGCAATGACACCTTGTAATGACTCTCATGAGAACAACTCAAGTGAACCCAGCGGAAGAACCCTTCGCCATGCGTTCGGGAAAAAACAAATATATAAATCAATGAATAAATAGCAAAATAAATAATTAAATAAATAAACAAATAAATAAATGAATGTATATATATATATATACATATGTACATATCTATAGACGCGTGCTTTTCACAGCAGCATTTTGCAGCGCGCCTTGAATTGGCACATTCGCAGGCATTGGTGAGTTTCACGGGGACGCCAAAATGCCTGGCTGGGAAAGTTTCTGAAAAGACACACCGTGTGCTGGATCTTGCGCTGGGAGGACTGCATGAGGGAAGACTGCATGAGGCATGCAACTGCAGTCTTGGACCAAGGAAGTACTGCACGCAGGAATGCCAGCGTTCCCACTGGAAGGCGCGGACGTCACGAGTTCTCAGAACATTTTGCCTCGAGTTTCGTGACTCAGGTGCACAAAGCTCGGCGCCCAGCAACTGTTGCACACGCAAGAGACAACCAAGCGCTGCTAGTTCTACACATATATGTGTATATATATATATATGTGTGTGTGTGTGCGTGTGTGCATGTAGGTGTATATATGTATATGTATGTATATGTATGAGTATATGTATATGTTTTCACGTGCTGGCGGCAGACATGCGGCATTGGCGGCACCATGCCCATGGCCTTCTCAGGCCGTGTGTGGCATCGAGCCCCTCCCGCGCATCAGTTTGCCAGCCAGGTGCACAGGACCCATCCTCGCACCGGACAGAACCGTCCTTTTTGCCTTCGCGACTCATGACTCATTGAGTCCGAGGCGCTGAAGAAAGAGGGCGAGACGGCAGGCCGTGGACCTCACGACGTGATGTGAGCAAACATGTTGCTTGTACGCCTGGCGGAGCGAACAAAGTGCTGTGCCGGGCCCCAGTGTCAGGCATGCGCTCGTTGCTACAAGTGCCGCTCGGCCTGGACCCTGGTTCCAGCTTGCCGTGCGCAAGGCGTAGGGCATGGCGGTTTTGTCAATCGCCAGGACCAGGTTTGAAGTCCTTGCAGAGCCTGTCGCAGCTTGGCTGAGAGAATTGTTGGAAATCATTGGCAAGACACTCGTCATTTGTCGATTCCCCGTGCTCCAGCGCATGCTCCAACACATGGCCATCCGTAGGTATCGTTGCGCTGGCATGATACCAGTGTGGAAGCAGAATCGGCTGATGTATGGGCAATTTTGTCACGGGTGATATGTAGAATGTATCTACTTGCATGTTTTGTCCAAACAGTTTTGATGGCTTGGCGGCCACGCGTGTTACTGTAGATGCAAGGGTCTTCTACATTGCACTTAGGAGTGCAGACGTGTATAGGGTCAATGAGATATTAGCAAGCATTGAGATGGGGAGCTGAGTTTCCGGGATGCAGGCAGCAGCTTGTGGCGGAGGAGCACTGGGAAGCCCAGTTCGAGGGTGAGGCCGCAGAGGCGGCCAAGAAGCTGCCGCAACTGCATGCCATCGTCCTGGCCCAGGCGGCATGCCCCATAGTCACATAGAGCACTCAAGGACTGAGACATATTGAGACATGTGGCTGGACGAAATCCAGCACTAAGCAATTCTGGTTCTGATTCCCCTGTAAACAGCGACAATGGAGTGGTTTCAAAAGTACCTGCCAGGTCTGGGACCAGGAGGACCTTCTCAGACTGGCGGCAACGCTTTCTTCCATCAGGCAACAGTGGAGAGCTCCGCATCTCGCTCAGTGGGTCACAAGTGCGTCACGGTGCACGTGTCTCCATACCCGGCTCCGAGGCCAGACTGTGCAGCTGCCCTGCTTTTAGCTTTAAGTGTATCATGCACATCAACCCGTTTGGGGGCATGGTCTCCTGGGAAAAGCAACGGCGAGTTCCCATCAGAAACTTGGATGGCCAAAACCCCCCCCCCCCCCACAGAATGTGTGTTTTTCCAGAAGGCAAGGGATGAGCCACGTCCGGAAATCAATGATCTTTGCAGATATTTTGACTGTCCGACTGTGCCAGACACGCTGGTCAGCGCTTTCGTGGCCGACGAGGAGAGGTGTTGTTTTGCCTGTGGCCTTGACCGTTCGAGTCCGCAGGCACTTGAGGCTGAGACGCAGAAGCTGCTTGATGATTTCAAGGAGGCCAGCTTTGTGTATTCTGTGTCTTCAACACGCGTTTGCTGTGTGTTGCCGTGTGATCATGATCATTGCACAGCTTCGCAGGCCATTGAAGCACCAGGACCACGCATGGCCTACTCAGACGGCTTGGCCCGAGCTGTGCTTTGCAAGGCGGGCAGTTGCCTGATGTCCCCAGCCATGAGTTTTACTCTTGGCTTCAAGGTCTTGTTCATAAAGATGCCGGGCATTGTTTGCGAGGGTGAGCAGCTTCGCCATATGCTCTTTGGATCAACTTGATCTAGGGGTTAGGCGTGAGATAGGCGTGAGACATGTTGGCAGGCACTGAGCCCCTAGGTTGGAGCAGGTGCCAGCAAGCGATACCAGTAGCGGCGCCCAGAGGCTGCGCTTTAAGGCTTTGCCTTGCGTTCGGCAGAGAGAGATACGCCTAGCTTTAGGCTGGATCCTTTTCAGCTCTCCGGGTGGCATTTGGCACCCAGGGCGGCAAGCTTATCACGGCGTGGGCCTTCGGAGAGCAGGCATACAGCATCATGGCTCCGAGGAGGACGGCGTTTTTCAGGAACTTCACCCGCCAGGCCAACCTGCAGCGAGTAGCGACAGGTGCCAAGGTGCCAGCTTTGTAGGTGCCGGGGCCAGAAACCTGCTTGGCCACCGCGGCGCCCCTCATTGTGCGACCTACGCAGGTGGGATTTAGGGCGCCAGGCGCAGGTGGCTATGAATGTTAATAGGGAACCCTTTGCCAATCGGTTCCAAATGAATGGTGAACATAAATCCCCACCTAAATGATGTCCACAGGGCCCCTCATTAAAATTCCTACTTCGGTGTCATTCAGGAACCCGGCTAGCCAGAAGTCGTCTTGTGCAGCCCAAGTGGCCAGGCAGTTCCTGTTCTCAAGTCTGCACTGGAGGTGAACAGGCAGGACACGCCAGGAACCGCAGGATGGGCCCCAGCAAGTGCACCGCAGGCTGCTGCAGCTCCCAGATGGCGACGTGGAGGTCATGCAAGAGGCAGGCCTGCACATAGGAGAACACAAGAGACCAATCTCTGCGAGTTAGTCACCAGATCAGAGTCACCAGATCAGAGTCAAATGCTTTTCCCTGCAGCTGGACCAAGAGGAAAGACTGCACCGTAAGACTGCTTGAGGCCAAGGATGTGGTACAATATTGCCTGCGGCGGTCACTCCTTGTGAATTTCCTCGACGAATGGGCAGACACGGAGTTCATCAATGAGCACTGTGCTTGGCATTTCGTGGGGGCATGAAACAGGTGCCACAAATTTATTTATTACACGGCAGAGTGCACGAGCAGAAAGAGAGTGACAGAGAGATAGAGAGAGAGAGAGATAGATAGAGAGAGAGAGAGACAGAAACAGAGAAAGAGAAAGAGAGGGAAAACAGAAAATGTCCACCAGGCCACTTGGGATGAGATAAACATGGTGCGTCACTCCTTCTCGAGGCAGTGTTTGGATCAGCTTTGGGCCCACGTGGTCAATGACAACAACCAGAAGCGCATGCCCCAACTTTGTGATGAACTGGTTTCGGGTCTGCTTTGGCCTTTTCAGGTGCTTTGAAATCGACACGAAGCTGCTTTATGGTGGTGCCCAGACGTGAGAGCCCCTGATCACTTCCGTATAGCCTGCCCTCTTCCCAGGGTCCCAATTTCGCATCCCCAGCAACCTTTCGGCGTTTGCTTCTGGGTTTCGTTTGGGCCGTTGAGTGGTTGGACTCGTAGGATGTGGATGTACTATGCCCCGTGGCGCCGGATGAGAAGCTCTTAGGCTGGCAGGCAGGAAAGCGCAAATTGGAAGGGCTAGCCACCGTGAGCATCTAAGGAGCCAACTGAACTTCCAGAAGACGGGCCAAAGCCTAGAACCTCAGAAGTACAATCAAGATTATCAAGATGGCAATGCTGGACACGTTGCGCTGAAACTGTTTGTAGACGAATTTCTGCCTTTGCAGCCACTTCTCTTGGATGGATTCTTGGCAGAGACATGCAAGCAAGCCCAGTGAAAGAAATCCAGCAACAAGCTCCAGACGGCTGAATTCAACAAGCAGGGCTGCTTTAGCTGCCCCCGAGCTATGGGCAGCAGCCTGGCATATACCACAAGGCGTGCAATGCCGGCTGATATCAGGACGTGAACCATTCCTTGTCTCCAGGAATTCCAGGCAATGCCGCGAACCTGCAGGCATCAGGCCAGAGTGTGGCACTTGCCGCTGAAAGAGACGAGCGCCGACAGTAGTCTTTGGCGTGCTTCGGCGTGCTTCTGATCTTGGCCACGAGACGTTCCCCACATGTGCAGGGAGAAATAAAGAGAGAGAGAGAGAGAGATGGGGGAAGAATCATTGAATCAATGAATCAACGAAGAAGCGTGATACGGTACAAGTTGCAAACGTCACAACCTGCGACATGCGAGGCGCAGCTTAGCACCCGCCGCGGGCTGCGCCGGCTGCGGCGGGCCGTGCCTGCTGAGCCCGCGGAGCCTAGCGCTTTTAAGCTTGGAGGCTAAGGGTGGCCATTGTTTCGCTGCGCTGTGCTGAATTGCGGGAGTGCTGGAGTGGAACTGCCTTCAAGACCGCTGCCTAGGGTAGATGCAAGCAAAGTTTTGCATGCCACGGGCACTTAGCAGCCCCTCACGTGCAGGCGGGCTTGGTCCTGCAGAGGAGGAGGCAGTAGAGCAGGTGGCGCGTCCGCTGATCGGAATCAGAAGGCAGGGTGCGTGCGCAGACTTGGCTGCCATGGCTGAAATGCATCCCAGCACCCGTCACTTGCAAGGAGCTCGCAGCCGGTGCAGTATGCTAGCTGGGACGAGGCGCTGAGAACATTGCTTGAGGATTCATCGTGGGTTTCAAAGCCTTTGGGAGCACCTCAAAGGCGTTTTGTTTGGGATCAACCGCAATGTGGGAGGACCAACAAACAACTTTTCAGACTTGGCTCTCCGGTGCCCTGGTCCCCTCCCTGCTTGTTTAACACTGAATCGCATCAATGCACAAACAAACCCAGAGTCCAACCTGAGCATGTGCTAAATCAAACCGATTGCGAACCACCCCTACGCTCTACCAATCCTGAGCCGACCTTAGACCAAGCCTATATCAACACCAACCACCTTAGATCAATCCCAATCCAGACCTAAACCTACTGACCCATAAATCTACTAAATCCTGCCCATCCTACATTGCACCCACCCTTCCACGATTCACCCAGACCTGAGTCGTTCCTGAGCTTGTACTGGCCCAACTAAACCTATCCACTCTTCCTGAGTCAGTCGGTGACCTATGGCCGGGGCCCCTTGACCCAGTCCAAACCAACCCTACGAATCCATGAAAACCATCCGCAACAACCCTAGGCCGACCCCAAACCAGCGCTAGACTCATGGCACAAGCCATCCTCAACGACCCTAAATCCAAGCCTCAACCGAGTTACCTCTTGCTGCCGGTTTTGGTTTGATCCACGCCTTTGGGCCGAGGGGCGCTCACAAGTGGCCGCCTACCTGGCTCGGAACAGAGATTCCTCAACAAAAGATCAGGCCAGAGCTGTAGGATGACATTGCGGCTCGAGCTGTCATGTGCCATTCGGCAGAGAGAGGGTCATGTTTCTTTTTGCTTGCGCAAAGCGTGTAGAAGCAAGGCCGTGCCGTTTTGTGCAGGCGGGCTCAAAGATGGGAGCAGCTTGGATCCAAAAAAGCACACCTATGCTTCAAGAGCAGCCGCGGCAACAGCCCACGAACTGGAGCGAGGCCAAGGCTGGGGGTGGCGGGGGGGGGGGAGAAGAAGGCAAGAAAGAGGAACAGGACAGGATTTGAGCAGACCATTGCCAGGCAACTCCTGGCAGATAAGGTTGATTGCCCACCTTTTGGCAAGGCTCTACGGCGCAGTGGCGCGGAGCCGCTTGCAAAGCGGCGAAAGGCGACGGGCGCAGCTCCGTATTTATGCAATAAATGCCATGGAGGCTTCTCCTCCTCCTCCCCTGCCGCAGTTGCCGACCATGCTGCCCGCCATTCGAGGCACGCTGCAGTGAAGCAGAGATCATTGTGCATCTTGTGATCGTTCTGTTGTGTGTGTGTGTGCAGGGTTGTAGGGCACAGGGCGTGGGCGCGAAACAGCTGGGCCGCGCCATGATATCCATGATGCTCTGCACCTCATCTCGTATCATACGGTTTGACGCACACAAATGAAAGGACAGCTCTTGGCTTTGGGCGCACGTTCAAAAAATGGGTTTGGTTGCCAGGGCGCAAAACGTGTTTTTGCAAGCAGCCAATGGTTTTGTCGGCTGGCCCGGGCAAGCTGTAAGAGTGTATGGGCAAGACCATATCAGCAGGTGCTCTTGACATGCGTTTTAGCCAGCACCTTGCCTATGGCAACCTGCGTGCCTTCAAATGCATGTGCTTGCCTGCCGCCAAGTGAAGTCTTGTATAGAGAAGTGAATTATTATTAGTCAAAGGCTAGGAATAGGAATCTTGATTCAGAAAGAAGTAAACGAAAGTTGTTATTTCTAGAAGTCTTTTATCTTGGATACAAGAATTCCAATCTACTTCATATTAATGTTGTTCCTAAGATAAAGATTCCTGCATTTGGGAGTTAGAAGTGTTAGGATTTCTTCTATCCCTTTCTTTCACCTATTTATATCTTCATCTTGGAAGTGAATATGTCCAAGATGAAGTTGTCTGTGGTAAAGAGTGTGATGATACACGGACTTTATGAAGGGAATAGGAATGTGTTAGGAATTCCCATTCCACCAATAATCCTCAATAATAAACCAGAAATCATGAAACAAGTAAGAAATATAATTTAATTGAAATATTTGTAGTCTTTCATGTTGAGAATCATCTTTGGTGTCTGGATTTCTGGATTATTAATAGGAAATAGATAGGAAAGAAGAAATCCAGGAATTATATTATGTTGATTATTGATGGAGAGATATCTCTTTCCTATTGATTGGTTATTCCTTGCAATCTATTTCTTATATCTCGTTCTTTATTATGTTCATATTGTATTTTTTTTATCTTTCTATCTGTTTCTTCGTTTCACCAATTGACAGGTATTAATGAAGGGTGAAACGAAGAAGACCGAGAAGATAGAAAGAGAAAGATGATAGGGAGGGATGATCCAATATATGAAAGTAATTAAAGGTAACAGAGAATGATTATTAGCAGAAAGAAAAAGACAAAGATATTACCATTGCAATGAAAGCTTGAATCATCTTATGTTGTTTCCCTTTACATCTCCTTTTCATATCCTTTTCATTCTCATGCTGGATGATTTTAAGGAAGTAATGAAAGTGTAAAGGGAAAGGTCTATCATCTCTAATTCACTTCCCTTCTCTTTTCTTTATGACATTTTTAAATTGTTTATTATTAATTGGCTTTATGAGGATGTAGCCTGCAAAGGAGAGAGACATGAAAATAATGAAGGAAAAGAAAGACAACTATAAATATAATTATATTATTATCTTCTTCTTATTTTCTTCTTATTACCTTCTTTTTATTAATGTCCAATCTTTTTCATCTCTATGTCATCTATTCTCCAGAAGTGACCAAGTAGTAGATGGCAGAGGATAAAAGATAAATTCTAATGTTGTAAGGACTGATATCTCTTTCTTTATGTGTTTTCTTCTTTCATTCAATATCAGTCTTTATGAGAATTATTCTTTCATTATGCTCTTCTTTTATCTGTGAAATCTTTATATTTCTAGACCCTAATGTATTAACGAGAGTTATCCAATATTCCATCATTAACTTTTCAATCTTTTATTATCCCTTTCTTTTCCTTTTCTATTTACATCTTATGGTTATATCTTCACCATGTTGTTCCATCCCTTTCTATCTCCGGAAACCATAAAGCCATGTAACTTCTTCCGATTTGCGATGAATGTTTGCATTCGGTCGCTTTTGCGTGGGGGTGCGTTGACTCGATTCCAGAGGCTATCTGGCTCGAATATTCGGCCCGAAGATCCTCGCATGTTCTTTGTTCTGCACGCATGATGGATGAGCCGATTCAAGGGGGCAAATTTGGCGGTGTGACTGACGTCATGGTTGCGCAGACCAAAGCTGCTCAGCCTCTCTCTCGACCAGTTTTGCAGCCGAGCGCCTCCAAGGACTCCTGCCTGCTACCAGCCAGCTGCCCCTTGCCGCGCCCTTGCGTGCTTATCAATGCGCCCCCTGGTTCACCAAGACAAGGCAACCCTTTGCCTCGGCCAGCAAGCCCCAGCCGCTCGCACCCATACAGACCGCGTCCTCAGGCTCATTGTGTCTCCATGCCAGCGCAGTCACGGCGCCTTGATACGACTTGCCCAACGGTTAGTGCTTCGGGTTCGGGGAGCCTCGCAGCACGAACTCAGCAGGTCTCGGCTTCTGCTGCGCAACAGCGGGCTTCATTGCTGCAGAAACAGCTCCAAGTGTGGTGCGCGATCATCATGATTGCTGAATGCAACTCTTCCTTATTCGATTTGTTTTCAGGCAGTGAACAACGCATCGAGCACATCAAACAGGTGGTGGCATATTTTTCTCCCTTCACGATTCAGGGGCATTGCCGCATGTGGCACCTTTGGCAGCAGTTCGCAGACACGCATGGCTTCTCTATTTACGACCCGCCGTCTGCCTTACTGTTTGATTTTTTAGCATCTCGTCGCTCGAAGCTGCAGCAATCCTCGGCTCCGTGTGTCAAATCTTTACGCTGGATAGCTGACAAGGCTGGGTTTAGCAAGATTGCAGAGCTCCTTGCCAGCCACGCTGCTCATGCTTTTAGCGTGCCGGCAAATCCACAAATCCGCCGAGAAGCGTTGCCGTTACCGATGTCCTTCTTGGTTTTCATGGAGCGCAAAGATGTGGATGAAATGGTGTCCCCATCCCGTAGATACATTGCAGCATTTTCCTCGTGGTGGCTTGGTGCTCGCTGCGGTTTGCGGATCATGGATGATGTTCATGATGCGGTTGCTCTTCAATGTGCTGTGGCCAAAGCTGCCAGAAGTGGCTGGCGGCCGGTCACACCGATTTGGCATGGGGCCGCTCCACCTTTGATTGACGTGGACTGCTGCGTGCCTTTTTCGGCCCTTCCGCGCATTTCTTACCTTCGAATGGATGGCCCTGATCCCACTCCCCAGGCCGCTACAAAAACGCCCGAAGTTCGGGATTCTTCTTCTTCTTCAGATGAGAGTAACTCCGATGACTCAGATGCAACGTCTTCTGACGAAGACTCTGCGTCCGTGGCGCCGCCACAAGCGGCTTTTTTCCTGGCCCGCGTGTCTGGCGGGGCGCTTCACGTGGCGCAGCCAACCACAAACACGAAGCGCGCAGTCTTGTTTGAAGGAACCTTTGTGGCGGCCGCCTGTGGAGCAATCTTGGAGCCTATTCTCAGCAATGTTCAGGTTTTTTCCAGTATTCCAGACGATGTGAGGTTTTGTCGGTGTGCAGCTTGTGCCACAGTGTTCAAGCTGCTGTAAAAAATGCAACGCTTGAGCAATAATGCTTGCGAAGTTGTGGCGCATTTCAATCTCAGCGATGCTGTGCCTCAAGCAGTCGGTCTTGTCTCAGGGCTAGATGATGAAGCCATGACTTCGTTCTCATGCGCTCGCTTTTCTAGGGGGCTCAGGCTGTGCCATTTTTTCTTTAAAATTCCCTCAGTGCAATCTCGGTATGGCAGATTTGGATTCTGAGGAATCGTGGCGTTCCTTGTTGTCACGCTGCGGGGTGACAGACTCTTGCGCAGATGCCCTGCGTGACTTAGGATTCCACTCAGCTGCTCTCTACGAGTACGCGGTCACGGCTCTTGAGGACTTGGACCCGTTGCTCAGGGAAATTCTGCAGCTGGATGATTTCGAGCCCATCATCTCCGCTGAGGCAGCGGCCCTCCGGCGAGCGTGGTCAGAGGCCCACGACTTGTGCCGTGCTTCCGCGGCGCGAACTGCGGTCATTGCCCAAGAGTCTAAGCCGTTAATCCTGTCACCCGTGGGCGGCGACACTGCTAAGCTGTCAGAAGAGCAGATTCAGGTGCGCAAGACGGAGTTCTCCTCCAGTTATCCGTACGGGCTGTTGACGCCTGAAATTTGCCCATGTGCTTGGGTCATTTCGCAAGTGGCCGCGCAGATCCAGTCCAAATCCCTGCAGTGGCTGCCGTGGCATCACAGGGTTAGTCAAGAGAGGGAAATGCAACATGTGGAGCGCGGCGCCTCCCGCTTGCCCAGGAATGAGTCTCAGCTCCTTCGCAGCTTGCTGGAGGAAGACTTGCCTTTGGTGGATACGCGCACCATGTCTGCCAACATCCACTCAGTCTCAACCATGCAGCACATTTGGTCATTGGCTCTGGCCATCAACAAGGCAGCGCACTTGTACACCTTGAAGCAATTTCAGGCGCATTTCAATCAGTTTGCTTTTGCCGCTTTGGCAGATGACACGCTGCGTCCGCCGATTTTGCCAGAGATCATCGAAGCTGATCGTTGCTGTTGGCAGTCCATCTTCTCACTCCAGCGTGACCAAGCTTGGACATTGGATCAAGCGATCCATGAGCTGACATGTGCAAGGCAGGAAATTGCGTCCCGCCTCCAGCCACGCCCTCGATCTTTTCCAAGTAAGGCGCTTGGCAAAGGTCAGTTTTCTCGTGGCGGATCAAACGCTCAGGGCGATGCCAAGAAAACTGCCCGGGTGCGAAAGCCTGCTAAGCAGGACGCGACTCGCTCCGGGGCGGACTCATCTAGCACTTGGGTCAAAGAATATCAGGGGCTGCCTATCTGCATTCGTTGGCAGCTGGGGCGATGCTCCAATGCCAGTCGCTGTTCATTCCAGCATGTTTGCCCTGTGCCCCGCCAAGATGGCTTGGCGTGCGGAGGAAAGCGCCCGGCTTCCGCGCACCCGGGCAATTAGATGGCCCCGCCCGCACACATTTTTCAGTCATGTGTCGCCAGAAACACGCCGTTTCTCGTTCCTGCGGCGGAGCTTCATGATTGTTTTTTGGGGTGCCTGCCAGCGTTCACGCACACGCTTCTTTCTCTGCAGGCGTCGTAGGCCCGAGGGGTGCTCAGGTCTT